CTCTGAGTCTGATTTTTCTGTGTTCTTTCATTTTTCCCAAGCCTATGCCTTTTCCTTTTTCTCTTCTATTTACTCTCTATTTATCATTTCCCTCCCTGGGTTTGGATATGCCATCACTTTTTAGCCTTCAACTTGAATATCTGAGTTTTTGCCTATTTGTTTTCTCTTCTCGTGGTTCTCTTCCCCTTTATGTTGTCTTCCTGCTCGCTGCCACACTCGCTCCTCACTATTTCATCTTCCCAAAAACTAAAGGACCGCTGTCATCCGCTTCAAGGTCTGTGTCTCAGAAACTTCATTTCCTTCACTTTTAATTATTGATTCTGTGCTCACAGACTTCCCCAGCCCCTTTCCTGTGCTTTGCCATGGCCGTGCCTTTCCCTGCCTGATGTCCCCTGTCCCTTGCTCTCCTCCCGGGTGTCCCTTGCCCACTCCTCCATCTCCACGACTGCTGCCCAGCTTCATAAATAATGAGTGATGCTACAGCGGCCTATTTTAGCAGCCATTTTTCTAGCCATAATTGCAGGCAGGCAGAAATCTGTGGTTTAGCTCTTGGAATACTCCCTAAAATAAATCTTAAAAAAAATTAAAATGTTCCACCTGTTTTAGCCATTTCCCACCTTTGCCCGCCTGATGTCCAGGTGATTTTACAAAACAGGGAGGCAGAAGCACCCAGTTTGAATTGCTTAGATTTAAGGCGCTGTAAAAAGTGAAATACTCCTGCGTGCCCTCACAATTTGGGATTCTCTACCGCTGCACATCTCCCATGCTGAATGTCCTAAGAAGATTAAGATCAACCCTTTTAATGTTGCTTTTAGCCGAGCGTATTTGTAACCCTTTCAGAATATGTGGCACCTTAAGAGATGGCCCGACAGGGCCGTTGCTTTCACAAGCATTACATTCCCTTTATGCAATATTTTCTCAAATATTAAGACTTTCTCCCCTGGTTTAGCACTTTTATGTTACTCCTTAACTTGCATAAGCTGTACATTTTAATGTATTTTTTAATAGACTGCATTTATTTTGCCTCTTTGAGCAAGTCCTGTCTCTTTTCCACAACTCTCTTACTTTCTCATTGCACAGCTATGTCTTCCTCCAAATCTGAAATAACTGCGATTATCACTGTGTATGATAAGTTTACATCTACTTAAAAAATTAAACTTAAGTCACAGAAGGCCATATGGGTCTCTTACTGGATTTCACTCAAATTCAGGAGATGAATATGAACTGAATAATATAAAGGGCCATATTGTGATATTTTATTTTATTTTTTAATGTGTTTTCCAGCACTGAGCAGGGATATGGGTGTTCTCCAGTACAGCCAGTCTCCCTGCTCTCTGTTTCCAGTGGCAGCAGTGGGTAACGCTGGAGGGCTGAATTCCCAAAAATCCCCGAATAGCAGCAGGGCGTTTCGAAGCCTCTCGCCATTGATTTTACAGAGCAGCAGCATCGTAACGCTAGGAAGTTGCTTGTTTTAATCATTTCTAGGCTGAAAAGAGGGATGTCAAGCCATCAATTAATCCTGACAGCATCCTTCTGTGGTGAAAAAATAATACTGTCACACCCATTTTATAAGCAGAAATTCAAAGGCAGAGATAATGGAGACTCAGTTCTGGTGCTGCTGGTACCACCACCATCCCCTTCCCCACTTTGAGGACAGTCTGGAAAGTTTTATTTTGGATTACAAAGGGGAGTCAGTAAATCAGGCTGGACCCGGGGCCATGTTCCCATACCCAGGCCACTAAACCAGTTCTTGAGAGAGTGATTGAATTATTACAGGTTCCTAAGAGAGGCTTCAAATGTTTCTCTTGCAATGTGTTTTACAGTCAAAAATAAAAATTCCTGGGTACAATTTTAGTGTGCAGCATCTAAACATGGATGTTGAATGCCTCCAACAGCAGTACCCTCAAATCCGAGCATAGGTAGGGCCTTGTGTCTGTTCTGTGGCATTCACAGCTGTGCTTTGGTCATTCTGGCGTTTTCATGCTCTTACAATGAAATTCAGAGCATCTTCGTACCATACCCAGTTCTTATTTTTCCTTTACCAGATGCATATCAAATCAAGCAATGGTACAAAAGTCTTTAAAATACCTAAATTAAACAAAGACAGACCCTACAGTCACGTTAACTTAATTTTTCCCCAAACATCGTATCTTAAAAGAAAAGTTGGCATTTTAATATCAGACTTTTACACAGGTTTCGCCGTTCTTCGTAAGGAAATGGCGTATATATAATTAATACTGTTTAATAAAGCTCAAAAATGCAACAGATGCAGCCAAAAGTGCACGTCATTTTGAGCAGATCTTTACAGAACAGACATCCCATATTGTGTTCATCTTTTTCCACGATCACTGCTATGGCAATCTGGTGTGTTTAGCAGTTGTTGCTGAGTAAGGCAGACTGGATTGTATATGATTTTCTCCATGTCAGCCAAGAAACAGAGCTCTCTTCTTTTTTTTTTTTTGGATGCAGTAAAGAGGTGGTCCTGGACTATTTATTTATTGCTTTCTACCAGGAGCAGCTCTACCTTTAGTAACTTGGGGGAATAAAAACGCGTTGCAGCCTGTAGGGTGCATGTGCTGGAAGATTTCTGTAGGTCTTAACTGAAAATACATTGTGGAAAAGTCAGAGGAACTGAGAACTCAAATGAGATGACCTCCCATATAGAAAAAGCTCCAAGCTTCACAAAACATGTCATTAAAATCGGTGAGGATCACATAAAAGCAAAATATTGTTAAAGGAGGATCACCTACAGCAGAAAACCCGTTTGAGAGGCTCCGGTGCAGAGGAAACGTTTCCCCTTTCAGCATTCCTTCTGGGTGCCAAATTTTCCTTCTGTTCTTCCCCACCTATTAAACAAAGCTGCAACTTCCAATTCCTATCAGTTTTCCTAAATATGTGCAGCTTATGTGGCTTCGCCGAGCTGCAAGGCTCCGCGTTCTCCTGCCAGCTCCTTGACAGTGTGGCTCCAACAGCATCCTCCACTTTTGGCTGCCTCTGGGACCCCTGGTCTCTTCTGGAAAGGGAGAGGGAAAGCGTATCCTTTGCTGGAAGGACTTTTTGTGACTGCAGAGCCGCTAGCGGAGCTGGGAATTGCTTGGAAAGGTCCTGTATGTGTGGTGGCTTGATCTGTTGAGGCTGCTGGAGCTGTTTTGGTCCACCTGGGGATGAGCTGAGCATGGCTCTGCAGCGGATACGGGGTGTGCTTCTCAGGATCACTTCTACAGCACCCAAAAAAGGGGAAACTGAGGCTAAAGGAAGCGTTACATTGAATTACACTGACTCCCCGCACCGACGCTATTTTCTGTGCAAATGTTTCCCATAGAGATGTCCCCTTCCAGCCAAGTCTGGATCCTCTGCTATAATCCTGTTTTGGGTCGTTCAGCTGGGCATTTGGAGGGCACTAAAACACTGGCAGCGTGTTTCTGCACAGAATTTACCTGCCCAAAGCAGGTGGACGTTTTAATTGTGAGGATGCCAGCAAACCACTGGGATCTTTACAACGGGAAGAAATTCTCGGAGCCAGCGTTCGCATCCACTTTGGTTACTGGAACCACCGTGAAAACTCCTGGTTCGCAGATGTGAAACAAATTACGAAGCTCAGGCAGTTGCATTCCTCCTCATTACTGGGAACAAAACAACTCTGGGAGGATGGAGGACTTCTTAAAGTAATTATTGTCTGGCTTTATTTTAAGAAAACGCAACTAATTCTGAAAAACTCCACCGTTCCTGAAGATTTCTCAGCCTAGGGAAGTCACATTAATTATAAGATTAATTTGGTTTAATTCCCTGAACCAAAAATATTGACTGAATGAGAAATTAACACATGTAGAGCTGCAGATGTCATTTGGCTTCAGATTTCCTGAATGATATAATTATTAATCGTTCATATAGCAGTGAGACAAACCTACAGATCCATTCTGCAAAATTAGGCTGTGAAGAAAGACACCGGGACAGCTGAGCTATAGATTTTCCCTTAATACAGGCAGGAAAACGGTGGAATTTTCAAAATAAGAAATAAAACCAAAATATTTTAAAGGACATATGGTGCACATCTGTCTGGGATACAATAATTTAAAGCAGAGTAATTAAATGCAAGATATAATATTCACCTTAGAGTGGGGGGGATCATCTGATTTCATTTTTAATATAACTTAGCAAATTTGGGAAATGTAGATCATCTGTGGTATCTTTTGAACCTTTAATTCCGTGCTAGTAAAGAAGATAGATTGGCAAATGGGCTTGTTGTATTTTATTGTAATTTTTAGTTAACCATCCTTGTGTTTCAAGGCATTGAGTGCCATACCCACGCAAACCTTTACTATTATCTTCAGCTGAAATTACAAATAAATACAGGTTTCTTATTTGCTATTTTAACTTCCAGCTAACTCCTTAAAAGTCTGGAGGCAGAAAATGCCTCATGTTAGTTTATTCCTTTCTTCTTTACCTAAAGCACTGAATGGATCAGAAGCTTTTCATGAGTTTAGTGTGGATTTATCAAATTCCAGTTTGGGAAATCCGATGGTTTTAGGGGAAAGTTTTTGATTAAACTATTCCTCCTGAAAAAGGGGTTAAACTAAATATATATGCATATATATACTAATATATACTGTACAATACATACTAAAATAGCTACATATTTTTTGACAAGCAAAAAAAAAATATAGGAGATTTTTTTCCTATCCTGCTCCTTTTTTAACATCGTTTTACCTTCACCCAGGTGACGTATTAATCCTTCTCACTTTCAGAGTTGGTAATTTGAAGAGTAGAGGTGTCATTTAAGACAGGGAAGGGAAATAAAAATCTGTTGAAGCTGAGTTTTGATCCCGAGTGCTGGGTTGAGGGAAACGTTTAACTTTGCAGCGTGGGGAAATTATGTTGAAGAGTCCCCAGAAGTACAATTTAAGAAAAATAGAAATACTGTTCTGGTAAAGTGAAAAACATATGAAACAATTCCACAAGTAAACGTAAATGATGCTGAGATAATTTCTGTTTGTTTTAAGGGAACACGACAAAGATCCTGAAACTTTCTTTAAAGTCCTGATGAGACTGAAAGAGGAGGATTTACCTTTTCACGTGTCCGTCCTTGGAGAGGCTTTCACTGAAATTCCAGGTATCTTTCCATTTTTTCCCCCCCTTTACTGTAAAATTACAGTAAAATAAATATTTTCAGAAGTAGTTTTCATGTACATATTGTCTTATATTAGTGAAAGAATATGTTTTAAGTCTTATTATTTAAAACTAAATAGTATTGATCTGTTGTAAAATTAAAATTATTAAAGGCAGTAAGCATTTTTTATTTTACTTGGCAGTGCAAGGCCTTATTTATGACCTGTGGTTCAGTCGCACTTCTACATTTATTTAAGGAGAGAGATAGGTGTGAGCGATTGAATGGTTGAGAGAGGAACCAAAAATCTTTGGGGTTGAGGTCACTCGTCTGAAACCCAGACTGAGATTTTAGCAGGTGAAAACACTTAGTTCCCTTTCAGACGTGAGGTTAAGGACTTCTGTGGAGCGCTTCTGGTTTGTATCTGGCATGAAAGTGGTCATTAATCTGTAATATTTTTATACCGCTCTCCTGCACGCTCCTTCCGCTTCTTGGTGTCTGACGACCACTGCTCCGTAAGCGGTTTCGCCCATCTGAAAAACTCACGGGGTTTATTCGGAATACACACAGCTTCAAGCCCGAGTCATTGTGATAATAAAGAGGATAATCAAATCCTGTATTTAGTGCATTTGCAGTAAATTAAACCTTTTAAAAATGTGCATTAATGCTGAGTGAGCTTCAAAATATCTGGTGTTTTAGCTCATAGGTGTTTTCCAAAATGCAGACTTGCATCCCTCCACCACATCACTGTACTAACAGACCTGGGCTTAGTTATTTGTCAGTTCTGCCCTATCTGTTGCCTGCTGATCTGGTGATGTTTCAATTGTTTTAGTTTTGATTTTTGCAGTTTTTAAGACACCAAGAAATTGATCTGGTCCAAATAACTTTTGGGTCCCCAACTGTGGCACAGCTGGATTGGGGGAAAAAAAAAAGAGGTAATAATTCGGTAGCGTGTTTTCTGTCCACTTCTTTTTTAGACAGTTTTCTGCACACCACATCCCTGTACAAACAGACCTGGGCTTAGTTTATTTGTCAGTTCTGCCCTATCTGTTGCCTGCTGATCTGGTGATGTTTCAATTGTTTTAGTTTTGATTTTTGCAGTTTTTAAGACACCAAGAAATTGATCTGGTCCAAATAACTTTTGGGTCCCCAACTGTGGCACAGCTGGATTGGGGGAAAAAAAAAAAGAGGTAATAATTCGGTAGCGTGTTTTCTGTCCACTTCTTTTTTAGACAGTTTTCTGCAAACCTGTTCCTCCAGGCAAGTCTTATCGCAGATCCCAAGGCAACGTTGCTTTCCAGACTGAGCGCACCAGATTTCTTAGAAGGAGAAATTTCTAAGGAATATGTGACAGATAGGAATATACGCTGGTGCACTGCGGGAACAGATTCTATTGACACTCATTTTGGATGTTGTTACATATCTCATTTGTGGCTTCAGTGCTTATGAATAATGTAGATCATCCTAAATTTATGCCAGTATATCAAATCTATATGCCGCACCTCTTATCTTGTCAATTCATTCATCCTCCTGTATAAATAGAGTCTATATAAGGGGCAACGTGGTGAAATGTGTCTCATCACCGTGCATTTGATAGGGCCGTGTTCATACAAATGACACATGCAGGTCATTGCTAACAAGCACCAGTGAAACCTGTTGCACATACTGAAAAATGTATTTCAGATATTTTTTACAGATTTATTTTTTTTTGTAATTAATTCTTGGCAATGCATTTCCTCTTCCTCCAATTATGGGGCCAAATCCACTCGGTATTAGAAATGCCACATGGGTAAAAAGTGCTGAGTGTATTTCATAATTCAATAATCATTCATTTCTTTGAAAACCCAATTTTGACTCATTAGGAGTACACAACAAATATCCAGTAGGAAGTGAAGAGATCTTTAATTTCCCGTGGTGCTGAAGCTTGGGTTTATGCTCTGAAGGAATCAAGAGGTAGGATGTAGGGCTTCAGGCGAGGGTGCTTTGGAGGGTGATTCCTCCCATGGGGGATATCTCCATAACTGGCTCTTGTTTGGGCTTTGTCAGTGATGGAGCAGTGAAGGCTGGCTAGAATCCCAACCATAACCAGAAGTTACTCCTTTAGCAGTAGAAGTTGTTGTGTCTATCTCGTCTTTGATCTCCATGCATGTAAAATGAGCATCATTTTCAATTAGAGGTTTAAGACCGTTTGCTGTCATTGGTGCTCCTCTGTCCTAGGATATCAGCTGCGCTTTCAGTGTGGTTTTATGGTCCATCAAATTTTGGCTAGATAACAGTAGCGGTGGAGCAATGCACGTGTTTGAAAGGCCGGCACAGACATCTGAGCCCCATCCCAAGAAGCAGCAGCTCTCCATCCTTCCCCAATGCTGACACAGGCTGCCCCAACCAACCCGTGT